CACCTTTCAAATGTATTTATTTCAATTCAAAGTACTATCAAATTAATTCATAAAAATGAAAAACTGACAAAAACTAATCTAAATTACTGAAACTTTAAGTTAGAAATAAAATAAAAACAGAAAAGCTCATTTAAATAAATAAAAAAAATGACTATAGTATATTAATGATACTAAAATAACACTGCTGTGGCATCACAAATAAACTTTTCACAGCACAGACATCCCATGACTTTTAATTAAGATGAAGTTGCATGTGTATATTTATCCGAGAGAAAATGCAGTGTAAAACAGTTTAAGATGATTTAGAGTCGAGTAATGCATGCAGTGAAAATGAAGGTAAAACCTTTCCTACCTTGTCCAGGAAGCAGAGCTTGTCCTTTGTCTTGGCGTCCAGAATCTCCACCTCGAAAAAGACCACAGCTTTCTTAGTCTTTTTAGTGGGTTTGCGTTTGGCAGGAGTGGGGGGTCCGGGTGCTGCTACCACGGCTCCGTTCTGAGCCTTTTTGGGCTGCGTGGCCTCTAAAGCCAAGGTATCCATATTGTCTGTTTTATTTGTCCACTTTCTCTGAGTTAACTGCTTTCCTCTTTTAGTCCCTCTCTCACCTCCGAAAACGAGTGTGGGACAGGAGCTTCACTGTCAGCTGTGGAAATAAATCTCTCTGTCTGTGCCCCCACCCCTCCCTCTCTCTCTCTCTCTCACTCTCTCCCTTTCTTTCTTTAACTCGACCCTCCCATGTCTGTGTTGTCACCCTCTTGTTCATCGACACATTCGGCCCACGACCCCCTAAAAACACATGCAATCAAATCAACAAAACTTGTATCGCTTTCTCTCACTCACATTAACTTTATTCTCTTTTTTTCTCTTTTTCTTCTGAACCTCCAGAGGAAACGTGACCCCTCCCCAGTCCTCCCAGTATGTGCTAATTATAACTGGCCTTATGGATGCACACATGCACACACACACACACACACACACAAACGTAACAGAGTCCAGTCATCTCCTCATCTAGAGACAACCAATATTTACACAAACCCAACTACATCACATACAGAGTGACTTTACAGACCATTTAAATTTGCACCCTTAAGCTGGGGTGCATCTGCCATAATGTACAAATTATTCTCCAAAAAAAAAACCTGGGCGTGCGCATGCATACATACATATATATATATATACACAGTGTTGGGGAAAGTTACTTTTAAATGTAATGCATTACAATATTGCGTTACTCTATAAAAAAGTAACTAATTACATTACTTAGTTACTTTTTATGGCAAGCCCTGTCCTATAATCTGGACAGGGCTTGCTTGTTTGTTTTTAAAATAAAAAAAAAAAGTAGTTATATTTTTGGCAAATATAAAAGCCTTTTCACACCAGAAGTGAAATTAATCCCCTCAGGCTGAAGGGAAAGTACATTTACGTCCGTAGCGTAGAATGCAGAAGAAGAAATTTCAACACACTTCAGCAATAAAAAAAGTACGGTTGAACTGGATCATCGAAGGTCAGAAGCAAATAGAATGGGATTAAATACAAAAAGGATATATGTGTTTAACATTTAATTATTGCAGGTTTGCATCATATTCTGAGTTGCATTATTTTTATTCATTTTGAGGAATACCGAATCAGTTGCATATATATACACACACACATACATATACAGTGGGTACGGAAAGTATTCAGACCCCCTTAAATTTTTCACTCTTTGTTATATTGCAGCCATTTGCTAAAATCATTTAAGTTAATTTTTTTCCTCAATGTACACACAGCACCCCATATTGACAGAAAAACACAGAATTGTTGACATTTTTGCAGATTTATTAAAAAAGAAAAACTGAAATATCACATGGTCCTAAGTATTCAGAGCAAAGGTGCTCAGTATTTAGTAGAAGCACCCTTTTGATCTAATACAGCCATGAGTCTTTTTGGGAAAGATGCAACAAGTTTTTCACACCTGGATTTGGGGATCCTCTGCCATTCCTCCTTGCAGATCCTCTCCAGTTCTGTCAGGTTGGATGGTAAACGTTGGTGGACAGCCATTTTTAGGTCTCTCCAGAGATGCACAATTGGGTTTAAGTCAGGGCTCTGGCTGGGCCATTCAAGAACAGTCACAGAGTTGTTGTGAAGCCACTCCTTCGTTAGTTTTTAAGGGGGTCTGAATACTTTCCGTATCCTCTGTATATATATATATATATATATATATATATAATGAAGAGTTTATTTGCAAAAACAGATCTTCGATTTGCCAAAATCATGTTTTTTTATGTTATCATGTTTTTATTGTGTTTTATTGTTAGTTAGCTGTACTTTAAAAAAAAAAAAATTACCTAATCAAAATTACCCAACTGCAGTTTGATTGAGATTAATTGGAATGCAAATTTAAAAAAAGAATTTAAAATAAGAAAATATAAGAAATACTTAAATAAATTACTTACATTTTCATGACAATTAACCAAATCGTCCATTATTATTATTTGCAATAACAACTCTATTGTATAATTTTAAATCGTGATAAAGTATGGTGATAAATTATGCAGATGTATGTTTGTCGGCAGCGCGCGCAGTTTTAGGGAGAGGGAGAGAGAGAGAGAGAGAGAGAGATTATTAATAACTTCGAAAGGCATGGGCATTTGACACTGGAGGAAATACCCTGCCAGTGAGAGAAACTCCAACTGAAGGAACTGCGTGGAATACAGCCGACATTACTTTAACGTTTACTTTGAAGAGAAACAGCGCCCCAGAGACGACTTGTTCAACTCCTCCTCGGAGCGTCTGAAGCAGCGCGTGAGTGCCTTCGCGCCGGACACGGACAGAACCAGCAGACATGTATATAGTTTTGATAACATGTGGAATTAGGTCGGTTGTGTGTCTTTCTTAGTTTATTTCTTAATGTATTAGCTACTTAAATGCTATGGTTTACGTCCCTGAGAGAAACCTCTCGGCGTCCTCTTGTCAATTGTATCAGCAGAGACTTTGACCGAAGCTGCTCCACGCGTTCAGCAAGCAAGTGCTACATCAGCATGTGAATGTCTTTAAGAACGACTCATATTCTCTGGCCAGATTTGATGTGCACTGATGGTACATCAACACAGAAACATCCTCTACTTCCGGGTTTATGGAGAGCAGAGCTGTGACTTCATTCTTTACGATCAAACTCACTCACGAGCGTTGACTTAGTCAATATTCACCATCACATCACAGCAAATACTTCTGTTTTTGCTCAGAAAACTTAACTTAATGGTGCTCATTGACACAACTAATGAATACAAGGAGTCATTCCCATTCAAAATGCATCTCGTTTGAGAAAGCCCATTGATGTTTTATGCTTCCCTCGAGGACGAATTATGTTGCAAGCGATATTGCACATACTGTGTCGTGCTAATATGGCACAGGGGTTGTTTGAGACTCTGGGTCGAGGCTGCGAACCGTCCAGGCTCTGCATCATCTGTCATCTAACAGATCGCTTTATTCATTATTCTTCAGACCGGTTAGGCCGAAGTGCTGTCACACTATAGCGAGTTTCTCTAATCTGCAGCCTCAGTCGTGTCATTGTAGCGCGTGCGATTCATTCACTTCAATACGGCACGATCACGTCTCGATCTCAAGAGCATCAGGAAGAGCGTCTCGAAACGCTGATGAAATCTGAAAACCAGTAACAATGTCTTACCTCGTAATGCTTCATGTTTGAATGGCTTATCCCAGCCAGGTGAGAGACAAGCGCGAGGCCCAATCAAGATGCCGCACATCCAGTGGCCAGAGAGTGATGAGCGCGTGCCAACACACACAGAGACCTGCGCTCGAGCTTGTCATTGGCTGAAACGCATCAGAGACGCCTTTTTTGTATTTCTATATATATATATATATATATATATATATATGGTTGTATGCGTGTATAAATACCAAGCAAATTGAAAATGTGTTTGAAACCATATATATATATATACTGTATATATTAGGAGAAGGCCTGATCACATTTATTATACACACACACACACTCACACACACACTCTCACACACACACACACACACAAATTGTCTTGATGAGAAACAAAATAGAGGCATTCTAATAAATGTATTTTATAACTCAGTAACTTATAATTAAGTTGTTAGATTATTAAACAATTATTATTCAACAAATTAACTTGACATCATACATTTTAGAGAAAAAAGTAAGATAAATAGACACAAAGAAAGTTTCAGATCTATTTTAACATATCTTACATATAACATATAAGAAAGTAAGTAAATAAATCAATTTAATGGACAAAAAAGTACACACTAAAAGAATCAAATCTTTCTCTTGATAGAGTAGGTCACTCGGTCAGAGATGTAAATATGGCATATTTAAATGAGAAGCGTCCGTCACGCAAATGTGTTTAAATATATGTGTGTGTTCAATTGACAGTTTCTTGTAGGGATGGGCGATACCACTTATTTTGTTTTCGATACGATACCGATATTTTTCAAGGCAGTATCACCGATACGATACTTCTGAACTAAATACGCATAAAATGCAACCTTTTTATTCTGACAGTGCATGATTTCTATTAACATTACAGAACAGAACATGATCAGTATTATCTTTCAACGTTCAGTTTAAATAACAGTAATTGCACAAACTATGTAGGCTACAATTTCAGTTTGTTTATTGTGAAATAACTCTGTCCTTCTGTCCTCTGATAAGCATTGTTCAGGACTGCTGTTCCCAAAAGCTTTAATGCTTTCTTATGATGCTTTTGGGAGCCGCAGCACAGTTTGAATGCACTGTCAGCAGTGAGTGAACGCTCTCTCTGTGTGATGGAGAAGTTCTGTCCTGCAACATGTGTGTGTCCAGATGAGCAGGAACAGAGTTATGTCCTACACAATTACTCGCCAACAAAGGTTATTCGTCCAATTCGTATCGATATATCGATACTTCGGATCACGATAATTGTACGCCCATCCCTAGTTTCTTGTAGGAACCGATTTAGTTTCGTGTTCATCAGTGTCCAGCAGCACATCCACGTGGTTCGGGTGTGGAAACAAGCAGCTGACTTTTTTGAGAAATTTCTCGATCTTTCTTTGCGGTTTCAAATAGGGCGGAACCACAGCGATGCAGGGGCATAAAAGCCACCCCAGGTGGATGGGACAACACCTCTCCGGTGAAAGTACTCCGAGATCTGTTTGAAGTTGTTCCTCAACGCTAGAAAGCATTCTCTGAACCCCGCTGTCTGACTTCTGGAGAATATCGACCTAAAAACACGCTCGATGGTGAAGATGGGGAGGGATTATTACAGTGTGCTGGGAATACAGCAAGGCGCATCCGACGATGAGATCAAGAAAGCGTATCGCAAACAAGCGCTCAGGTACCACCCGGACAAAAACAAGTCACCCGGCGCCGAGGACAAGTTCAAGCAGATCGCGGAGGCTTACGACGTTTTGAGCGACCAGAAGAAGAAAGACGTATATGACAGATTTGGTGAAGAAGGTGAGTAAAACGATGCAGCCTTGTGGGGCTTTTGCGCCGTGCCTGATGATAGAGATAGAGATGGGGAGAATTTAAGACACACTTTTAGCAATTCGTGTTAAATAGTGCACATCTTAAACTATCGTGTCTATGTTTGTTCAGAGATTATATGAGCTCACTGACTGGGTCAGGCTTTTAATCTGTATGAGATTCTGCTTATAGTGCGCGATATTTAATGTAAATGACTATAGTATATTCTTCATGTTAAAGGGATAGTTCACCCAAAAATGAAAATTCTGTCATCATTTATTCACCCTCATGTCGTTCCAAACCTGTATGAGTTGCTTTCTTATGTTGAACACAAAAGAAGATATTTTGAAGATTGCTGGTAATCAACCAGTTGGTGGTTCCAAATACTATGGAAGTCAATGGTTACCAGCAATCTTCAAAATATCTTCTTTTGTGTTCAACATAAGAAAGCAACTCATACAGGTTTGGAACGACATGAGGGTGAATAAATGATGACATGATTTTCATTTTTGGGTGAACTATCCCTTTAATAAGTTTGTTTTGTACAGTTACGTTAAATAGACACGATTTGTTATGCTGCATTCTGATTGGCTACCTGAGTGGGGCTTTGTGGAACGCCTCGCGCTTGCTGGAAGATTCTGATGGTCACGTGGTAGAAAGAGGCGGGGCGTTTGCGTGCTGTCAGCAGTTCTGCGCGTGTTTGGGTTGTGGCCCATTCCAGAAATTTTGAGCAACCCTAGACTTGTTTTTTTTTCAAGAAGAAAATGCAGGGGAGAGCTGGGCACAACCTAAGACATTTTGACTTTCTCAGTTTGTGAAAATCCACATGGGGTTCAGAGTATAATTATTTAGCCACAGTAATTTCACACCTGTCTAGTACAAATATGTCACTTTGTTTCATAATTAGTGTGTATACGTTTTTCTTTATTTACCCTTAAAAAATGGAAGTCAAATGTAACAACATGCCCCGTAGGATTGTAACATCTGAGGGGCATGTTGTAACATGACCATATGACAATGAAAATATACTAGACAAACTAAAATACTTTGTCAATAAAATAATTAACTTTTTTTTAAATACAATAATGGTGTTTTTTGAGACAATGAACACATTGCAACCTTGCTTGGGACGGCCCACATAAACAATTCAAAAATGCTTTACATTTCTTGAAATAATAATTTCTGAACATTAAACATTGACTGTCAGTCTTTATTCTCCTGTTTCTCGTATAGTGTCTCATTAAAATTCATTAAAGTAAATAGTGTAAATTACATCGCTAATGTCATAGAATAGCATCGTTTAATAAGATTGTAATGCAACGCTCCCCATCTGCACAACTGGAATTTAACACCGGTTAGTGTCTTCTGCTAGTTAGCGAAGCATTAAAAAAACCGATAGATCTAAACTGATAAATAACAGACTGGAGATTAAAATAAAAGCAGATTTGTCTCATTTTAAATGAATACTAAAAACTGAGATGAAAAACTCACTTAAGACAGAAATGTACTTTTACTATGGTAAAAATAAATATTCTGCGATATCTTCAAAATATTTTTATTTTGGAGCACTTTTTTTTTCTCTACATAGTGTTGATGTGGCAACAAGTAAATACCTTCAATTTTGTTATGCTAGCGTGTGTGGAAATATTTAAACCACGTGTGTTACAACTAACCCCGCATTAGTTTGTGCCCCGCGCTCGCCTGCAATACAAAGTATAATCCAAACGATAATGACTATTAAAGACAAGATTTTCCATAAAAAAGGAACTTGTGGCGAATTCCAGTTGGGAGGAATTAAAATTCCCAGCTCTTCTGGGAGGTGTAGTAGTTGTGTAATCAATGTAATGAACCGCTTTAATAGATCGTAAAGCTTTTGGACCGTTGGTGCAGCATTTCTGAGTTGTCTGTGATCTTTATACAACACCATAAAAGTCTAATATGTGAGCTCTTTGTTTGTCATATTCAGGACTGAAGGGAGGCATCCCCGGTGGTGGAGGTGGTGGCGGGAATTTCACCTACACTTTCCAAGGCGATCCTCATGCAATGTTTACAGAGTTTTTCGGAGGACGGAACACTTTCGGACAGTTTTTCGGACGCAACGGTTGCATGGAGGAGGATATGGAAACCGATGACCCGTTTGCCAGTTTTGGCATGGGCAGTTTCCCCCGCTCCTTTAACACGCGCAGTCACGGCGGGAGACTGGAGAAAAAACAGGACCCTCCGGTGACCCACGACCTGAGAGTCAGTCTAGATGAAGTGTTCACTGGCTGCACCAAGAAGATGAAGATCTCACGCAAACGCCTGAACCCCGACGGAAGAACAACGCGCTCTGAAGACAAGATTCTTTCAGTGGAGGTGAAGAAAGGCTGGAAGGAAGGAACCAAGATTACTTTCCCCAGGGAAGGTGATGAGACGCCATCAAACATCCCCGCAGACGTTGTGTTTGTGGTGAAAGATAAACCGCATCCCGTGTACAAACGAGACGGATCAGTCGTTATTTATCCCGCAAAAATTACACTCCGAGAGGTAAGACCGGGATTTTAAGAGTTTCTTTACAAACTCATTTGTAGTCTCTTTGCATCTTTCTAATCCCTTTTTTCTCTATTTTCTCAGGCACTTTGTGGTTGCACCGTCAACGTCCCAACATTGGATGGTCGAAAAATTAAGTTAACCACTCAGGAAATTATTCGTCCCGGGATGAAGCGGCATGTCACTGGGGAGGGTCTTCCTCTTCCGAAATCCCCAGACCGCCGCGGGGACTTGGTTGTCAAATACGAGGTCCTGTTTCCTGAAAGACTGAGTCAAAGTGCCAAAGACACTATCGCAAATGTTTTGCCAGCTTCTTGAGCTGTGTATATTATAACGCTGGAGCCACTGCCATTGGAGATTTTGGTTTCATAGCATTTAAAGATGAATATTTGAGCTCAGCCCAATAAGGTGCCCATTTGCTGCTGCAAAACAAAATTCTGTAACATACTGCCATTGAGAGACTATCTGAACCAAAACATAGCTGGACTGGACTGGTTTATCTATCGGTGTCATGTACATGAACCCATGTTTCCTTTGGGTTTAGTCCAGCACAAAGTCTCTAGCTGTGGCCTCTGGGCCAGTGTTTGGTTGTGCACTACACACATCTAAGTTTACAATGTTGTCTTGTTCCAAAGATGGACAGTAGAGGATGTTGTGTTGTGTGGGGATACATATGGTTTCTTTTCTGACTTGATACCTCAGGAAAGGCTTTCTGTGAAAGCAGCCTGTAATTATTCTTCCATTACAGTTTAATGGAGACGTTTAGTAATGTCATTCACAATGTAGTGCTGGCCCAAAGTGATTCCTGCTTGGATCATCCCTCATCTAAGTGTGTAAATCAGCACATGCAAGAAATCACATAGACAGCAAATTTACAGAAGAAATGTGATTTTTATTTTTTTTTATTATTATTATATATAAAAGTAAAAATAATTACTGATGTCAGTTCATTCCTTACACAAAATGGCATTGAACTGTTTTTCTGTTTTCTTAACCGATGTTATGAATTGTTCTGACTTTTGTCTCTGTGAAATTGAATTTATGTTGCTTCACATTGTTGATATTAAACAGTATGTGGGACACCTAATGTTTTTTCTTTTCTATTCTATAACGCTGCACATTTTGTTTGAAATGTTTTGCATAAAGGCAGTATCTGAACTTGGGTTTGTGTGATACTGTGTTAAGGTACCAAATATTTTTTAACAGAAAATAAGAAAAATTGTTACATTTGCAATTGCGGTTTCAATAAATAGTATTCAAAAATAATTGTAAAATTACATTCTTTAACTTGCTATGAAATTATTTATTTTAAGTATACAGGGCTCTAAAACAATAATAGCATTCCCTTCACCAAAACATTAAGTATTGATAATTGTATAGGTTTATATTGGAGAACTGACATTTGTAAAAAGAAAAAAAAAACAAGAAAAATTTATAGTTGAGACTAATATAACCTCTAAATAATGATAGAATCACTTTTATAATAATGGTACTTCACTCATTTTCTGAACATGATGCTGTGGTCCTCAGTGTTGTTTGGCACAGCAAAGACATCTGAAGAACTTCCTGTACTGCTGCCTGACCTGAACAAGAATGAGACGAGATTCAATTTGAACCTTGGTTAAGAAATAAATCAGAACGTGTCCAGGTTATATTTTAAAATCAAACAAAATCTAAAAGTAAAAAAAAAAAGGTGCATTAACATTAAACCAAAGTCCCTTTAAGACACCTCATGTCACTCGGCGGCCATCTTTGAAACGCCTCTCGGGCATGCAAGTGTGATAGGAGTTCTATCTCTTTGAATGGGGAAACATCAAATTCTACAAAAATGTTCACTAAGCTTGCGATTAAAAAACCAAAGAAATCTGATATCAACTGTGTCATAAATGTTGTTTATTTTGCTCAAATAGCGTTATAAAAAGCTTATTCAGGCTAGATCAGCCAGTGCACATGCGCAGTCCTGATGGTGCGTTCAAGTCATGTCGGATAGATCGTATTTACGAGTTGAACGCACATGAACGCCACCACAAAGTCGTTATTACGAGTGGGAAACTCTAAATTTTCTTTAAGCCCAGAGTTTCTGAGTTGGGGGCGTGTCAATGAGAAACATGGCGGAATCCATGGATGCAACGTCTGTAGTTGACGGTAAATTTTTGTTTAAATTGATAGTTTAGTTGTCCTATAAACTTAAATTGGTCATGTTCTTGTTACGCAGCTAGTTAATGAAATCCAAGTAAAAAAAATGCTATCATGTTTGCACCTATAGGTGAAAAATCTTTTGATTTGCCATGCTGCATGTTTTAAAAATATTAAAAACGCAAAACAAACCTGATGCGAATTCTTTGCTCTTCATTTTCTAGAGTTAACAGACCCTGTTGTATTTTCTTGTAATTTATTAAAAGAAGGTACACCATCTTGTGCCGACTAAACTGACTTGAACGCACCTGACGTCTTAATTAGGACTTGTCAACTCGTAAGTACGAACGTCCCAGGAGGACTTGCATGCAGCATGGGCTCATGTCTCAGAATGCTGACTGTTTCTATAGCAACCGGGACTTAAAAACAAGAAAAATTTATAGTTGAGACTAATATAACCTCTAAATAATGATAGAATCACTTTTATAATAATGGTACTTCACTCATTTTCTGAACATGATGCTGTGGTCCTCAGTGTTGTTTGGCACAGCAAAGACATCTGAAGAACTTCCTGTACTGCTGCCTGACCTGAACAAGAATGAGACGAGATTCAATTTGAACCTTGGTTAAGAAATAAATCAGAACGTGTCCAGGTTATATTTTAAAATCAAACAAAATCTAAAAGTAAAAAAAAAAAGGTGCATTAAACCAAAGTCCCTTTAAGACACCTCATGTCACTCGGCGGCCATCTTTGAAACGCCTCTCGGGCATGCAAGTGTGATAGGAGTTCTATCTCTTTGAATGGGGAAACATCAAATTCTACAAAAATGTTCACTAAGCTTGCGATTAAAAAACCAAAGAAATCTGATATCAACTGTGCCATAAATGTTGTTTATTTTGCTCAAATAGCGTTATAAAAAGCTTATTCAGGCTAGATCAGCCAGTGCACATGCGCAGTCCTGATGGTGCGTTCAAGTCATGTCGGATAGATCGTATTTACGAGTTGAACGCACATGAACGCCACCACAAAGTCGTTATTACGAGTGGGAAACTAAATTTTCTTTAAGCCCAGAGTTTCTGAGTTGGGGGCGTGTCAATGAGAAACATGGCGGAATCCATGGATGCAACGTCTGTAGTTGACGGTAAATTTTTGTTTAAATTGATAGTTTAGTTGTCCTATAAACTTAAATTGGTCATGTTCTTGTTACGCAGCTAGTTAATGAAATCCAAGTAAAAAAAATGCTATCATTTTTGCACCTATAGGTGAAAAATCTTTTGATTTGCCATGCTGCATGTTTTAAAAATATTAAAAACGCAAAACAAACCTGATGCGAATTCTTTGCTCTTCATTTTCTAGAGTTAACAGACCCTGTTGTATTTTCTTGTAATTTATTAAAAGAAGGTACACCATCTTGTGCCGACTAAACTGACTTGAACGCACCTGACGTCTTAATTAGGACTTGTCAACTCGTAAGTACGAACGTCCCAGGAGGACTTGCATGCAGCATGGGCTCATGTCTCAGAATGCTGACTGTTTCTATAGCAACCGGGACTT